ATAAAAATCAAACTCTATAATAAAAGTAACGATTCGACTAGCTAGCATTTTGATATTGAGCTGTGAAGATGAATTACGAACTTCAACTCGCTTTTTGTTATTAAGTTGTGAATATAATGTTAACATAAATTACAGACTACCTGAAGCGAAAAAAGCTTTGAAAAAGTATTACTTTTTCCAGGTTAATTAAGTGCCTGGAAGAATCTCAGCGGGACTATGATAAAACTTACATTAATGAACAGGACTCGGCAATCGGATTTCTAAAATAAAAGTAACGATTTCACTTGCGTTTTGTACTTTACGAGATGTGAAGTCGACTAACTTTTTGTTATTGTGCATATAATGTTTACATTACGGACTACTTGAAGCGAAATAAGCTTTGAAAAAGTAATACTTTTTCCAGGTTAATGTGCCTGGAAGAATCTCAGCAGGACTATAATTATAACTTAAATTACTTGAAGCGAAATAAGCTTTGAAAAAGTAATACTTTTTCCAGGTTAATGTGCCTGGAAGAATCTCAGCAGGACTATAATTATAACTTAAATTAATGAACTATAAAGCAGTTTGCAAATAGTTTAAACAAAATGCAGTTATTGAGATACGGGAATTGTATTGTTAAACATGCAAATAACATATGTTTCACAGCGAATACATTAACTTTTACGGGTGATTGAAACAGAACAGGCGAACACATTAACTCAAGAAAAACTTACCGTTAAATCGTTGTCTTGTTGWCTGGCCAATTGATCATCACGACGGCTAATATCCATTGCCTAGTTGAGAAGAATGAAAGTTTTTAGAACCAAAAAACCATAAAAAAATGAACATCGATCAGATGCATCGAGTTACGGGCGATTGAAATAGAACAAGAACACGAAGGCGGAAACATTAAATCGAGTAAACTTACCGTTAAATCGTTGCTTTGTCGACCGGCCAATTCTTGGCCATTACGAGGGTTTTCTTCGATTGCCTAGAGAGACAGAATTACAGATAAGTTTTACGAGCAAAACTAATCAAAATACTGATCTGCAAGTGTAAAAGTCAAGTTTACGGATGATTAATCAGTTCAACGAAGCAAACGAAGGCTAACAGCGGATATATCTACATTCAATGAGTGAACTTACTATGAAATCGCTGCCTTGTTGACCAGGTAATGGCTGAACACGGGGGTTTTCTTCGATTGCCTAGAGAGACAGAATTACCGATAAGTTTTAAGAGCAAAACTGATCAAATTACTGAAAGAAAAAAGTCAAGTTTACCTCGTTCAGCCACATTGCTAAAAGATTTGTTGTTTCTTGATTATAGCTTGCCATCTT